GTGTTTTCATGATGGTAGACATCATTCTTTTGTTTCCAGGTATAGAATGCCTTTGAGCATTTCTTGTAGCTCTGGTCTAGGAGAGATGAATTCTCTCAGTTTTTGTTTGTCTGGGAAATATTTTATCTTTCTTTCATTTATGAAGGACAACTTTGCTGGGTATTGTATTCTGGGCTGACAGGTTTTTTTTTAAATCACTTTGAATATATCATCCTATTGTCTCCTAGCCTGTAATGTTTTTGCTATATATATTTTTTAAAATCCCCAGGTAGTCTAACAGAGGTTCCCTTACGTGTGACTAAACACTTTTCTCTGCTGTTTTTAGAATTCTCTTTGGTTTTGAGTTTTACTTTAATATGCCTTGGAGAACAACTTTTTTGAGTTATATCTATTTAGGGATTATAAACATCCCATATCTATATGTCTAAATCTCTTCCTAGACTTGGGAAGTTTTCAGCTATTATTTTGTTAAATAGGTTTTCCATGTATTTGGTCTCTTCACCTTCTGGAACATCCAAAATTCATGTATTTAGTTGTGTTATGGTGTTCTTATGTCACAGGATTTGTTCATTCTTTTTTATTGTATTTTCTTCTTTTTAAAAAATCTGACTGGGCAATTTCAAAAGACTTGTCTTCAAGTTCTAAGATTCTTGCTTTTGCTTGCTCTGTTGTTGAAGCTCTTGGATGAATTTTTAAAATTTCATTCATTGAATTCTTTCTTTCCAGGACTTCTGGTTTGTTCTTTTTTATTATATCTATCTCTGGTGAATTTCTCACTCACATCCTGAATTGTTTTTCTGATTTCTTTCAATTATTTTTCTGTGTTTGCAATCATAGCTCACTATGAACTCAAGTTCCTACTCTCAAGTCTGTCTCAACCTGCTAAGCATTTAGGACTACAGCCTGCAGTGTGCTGCCATTCCTGGCTAACATTTTATTTTTATTTTTAGCACAGACAAGCCTTTGCTATGTTGTCTGGATTGGTTTCTTGTGTTTTTATGTTGATAACTGTACCTCTGGTATAACAGTCACTTCTTCCAGTTTTTTTTTTTCGGATTGGCTCTTACAAGGGAAGGAATTTTTCCTGAAGATACATCGATGCTGTTCATTGGGTAGGACACTAGCTTTGATTCTGGGTGCATGCAGTAGTGTAGTCTCCATATGATTTATTCAGTTGTAAACAGCATCGGTTGTGTCTGTGATTTCCTCAGTGGCTTAGGCTATTGTTGTTAGTGGAGGCTACAGTGAGGTTTTGTTGAGGATGAGGATTACAGGTAGGCCAGTCATCATATCCCAGTCATGGCAGCAGTAGACCGAACATGCCTGGTCTTGGGCTCCCAGTTGGTTTATGCAGTCACCAGTGTTAGTGGGTTGAAACAGGCCAATACTTGGGCCTCCAGGTGGCTCTGGTGCTGCAGTGGTAGTGGTGGGTCAGTCAGGTGAGTGGATCCTTGGTCCCTGGATAGCCAGGGTAATGGCAGTAATAATGGCAAGACAATCCTTGGGCTCTGAAGTGACACACATTGGTTTTAGTCATATCTACAATGAGCTGGGTAGGTTATTCCCTCGTTCCCCAGGTAGCATGTGTGGTGGGTGCTGCTGTGGTGGTGGAAGCCCCAGGAGGACTGCACAGATGCCAGTGATTGTGGACAGGGTGAGGCAAGCCCCTAGACAGTGTTCTAGGGCACTGGAGTTGGGGGAGTGCCAGGCCAGGTAGGCTTGTTTCCAGGGACCCCAGGAATGTCATCATGTCCTGGCTATGGTGGGCAGAGTGGAGTGACCCTCAGGTTCCAGTGGAGAGCTTGGGAGGCTGCAACAACAGGGGTGATGTGCAGGGAAGGCCTGCCATTAGGGCATGTCCAAGTATGCTGCAGTCCTGCTGTTGGGGTAGAGGCAGAGGTTCTGACAGTAACTGTAGCCACAGGCAGGCAGTTCTTAGGCTGTGCGGGAGGAGGGATGCTTTAGTCTCCAGTGGCAGTGGCAGTGGAATATCAGCAGTAGTAGCAGCAGGGAAAACTAATTCTCAGGAAATGTGCAAATGTGTGATGGCAGCCCTGCTGCTTGGTAGATGGAGTCGCGACCAGCTGCATGTGTTTTGGCTTCTGGTGGCAGCAATAGTGGCTGTGGCTGGTGATAAGAGAGTCCGTCCTCAGAGTGTGATTGCAGCAGCCCTGCTGCTGGGGCCAGGGTCGTTATATGTAGTAGCTGTCCCAGGTAGGTGTTTCTCTGGCCATAGAGAGTATGTGCTTTGGCTTTCTTTGTCCTGGGAGAGCCTCCCTAGGGTGCTGCACCACCCTTTACCTGGCATACAGGGTACTGTGTGCTGGAGTGCTGGGGACCCTGCCACTCTGCCGGATCTGACTGGTGTTATTGCTGCTACAGCTCTGTGGGTGGACACAGAAGGGTGTCAGTGGGGCTCCAGGGATGTGAAGGTGCAGGGGCTATCAGGCCCCAGGGCAGGATGCAGCCCCTCAGTGGGGTCTAGGCTCTCAAAATGGTGAATCTGCTTAGGACTTGGTGGTGTGTTGGACCATTATGAACTCCTTCTCTAGAGCAATGCCTTTGTGTCATCTCCAGGCAGGTCCCTATGTTATTCTCAGAGCCTGTGATGGGGTCCCCCATGGCTAAGGTCTCAGGAGTCCATGGTGGGAATATGGACAGGTGGGAATCTCCTCCTTACCGCTTCCCTGAACTAGGGAGGCTCTATGAGCTCCCCGCTGATCCCAGATGAGCTGACTCCCTCCCTTCCTGCTCCTTCCACGCTTCAGGTGCTTCCTGTTCCTTCTCTGTTGAATTCCAGTATTCTCTCTAAGATGCTCTATTTGAAGTTTGATTATGTACTTGCTATTTTGATTCTTGTCTGTGGAAAAGGTAAGTGGCAGATGCCTCCAGTCAGCCTTCTTGAAGTTCCTCTCACATAAGTCTTTATGTCCTTCATGACAATCTTACTATCCCAATGAGTGAATGACTATATGACAAAATAATCTCATTATAGGTAGACATCATAGTGTCACAGTGGGTACTATGGTAGGCACCATGACCCTGTTCAAAATCAAGACACTCATTTTCCCAGATGCCAGGAGTATTGACTGCTAATGGCTCATAGTTAAACCCCTCTCCAAGCACTGGCCTTGGATTAAGACTATATTTCCTCCTGAAGAGAGAGTGGGGCAGCCTGTATACAATGCAGTCCAGGAATAGGGTGAAAAACTGGCCTTGAGTGCTAAATTTAAACAGATGCCAAAAACTCAGTAATCAAAACAAACAATATTTTAATGTAATATTTTAAAAATAAAAAATGCAAAGATTCTGTAATTATCAAAATATCACAATTTTAAATAAAGATATAATCAACATGACTGATTTTTCTCTTTGCTTGAGGCTCCAGTATGGCTCCCCAAAACAGTCTATATTAAAGCATTATTTAAAAAATACAAACCAATGCAAAAGTTCACCCTGAATGAAATACTGAAATTTTAAAATAAAGACTGACTTTTGCATTGATTTCGTTTTAAATAACAGTAATGTATTAAAATGTTATTTATCTTGGCTACTGAGCTTTTTGACACCCTCTAAATTTTGTTCTCAAGGCGTGTCTCACTCTTCTTATGTAGTCCCAACCCTGGCAGATTGACTCAGGGGAAACCAATGTCTGTCTCCTTTGCCTTAAAAGGAGGCCATGGGAGGCCATCCCATCAACATAGTCCCTTTGGGATCAGCTGAAGCCTTCCTTGTGACTTTATTGCAGTCCAATCCTGCTTTTCTCACTCCCTTACCAGTGTTATTCCCAAGAGTATCCTGCAGGTAAGTCTCTGAGTCTGTTTCCTCTAAGACCTCCCCAGAGAAGAGAGGTCACAAACTGAAGTTCACAGAAGTTGAGGAAATTGCCCAAGCTCTCAGGGTTCCTATGAGATGAAAATCCAGGTGAGACTAGGCATGGTGGCTCATGAGGGTAATCCCAGCACTGGGAGGCTGGAGTGGGATGATTGTTGGAGCCCAGGAGTTCAAGACCAGCCAGGGCAACATAGCTGAGACCCTATCTCTTCAAACAATAAAAAAATTAGCTGGGTGGGGTGGGTGCACGCCTGTAGTCCCAGCTACCTGTGAGGCTGAGGTGTGGGGATCACTTGAGCCTGGGAGGTTGAGGCTGCAGTGAGTCATGATCTGCACCCCACCCTGGGTGACAGAGCAAGACACTGTCTAAAACAAATAAACAAACAAACAAACAAAAAATCCCAGTCAAGTTAGTATGACTTTAAAGCCAGTGCTTCTCATCGTAACATTCTATAGGCTGGGGCCAGAATTCGTGGCTATAGTCTAATAAGTCAAAGGTAAAACAGGGATACCAACAATCCCTATGCACTCTCCTAATTGAATGTCCTAATTGCGGACTAGAATTCAGGTTCACTGATTTCTAGGAAGTGGGCCTCTGATTATATCAGATCCTGTGGTCAGCAGAATAATGCCCCCACCCCCACTGAAGATGTCCACATCCTAATCCCTAAAACCTGTGAATATGTTAACTTACATGGCAAAAGCAACTTTGCAGATGTGATTAAGTTAGGGATCTTGAGCATATGCTGCATTATCCAGGTAGGCCCAAATATAATCACAAAGGTCCTTTTTAGGGAGAGAGGGAGGCAGGAAAGTTAGAGAAGGAAACATGATGACAGAAGTAGAGGTCACAGTGATGTGATCATGAGACAAAGAATGCAGCTGGCCTTAGAAGCCGGAAAAGTCAAGGAACAGAGCCTTCCCTAGAGCTTGCAGAAGGAAGGGAGCTCTGTTGCCCCTTGGTCTTAGTTCTAAGACTCATTTTGGACATCTCACCTCCAGAAGTGTAAGAAAATAAATTTGTGATGTTTGAAGCCACACAGTTTGTGGTAATTTTTAATAGCAGCAATAGGAAAGTAACAGACCCCTAAAGCCGTGTTTCAATCCTGCAATCTGGGATCACCCATGTGACTCTGAGATGTAATGGATCCCTAACAGAAAACAGGACTACCAGAGCAATTTAATGAAGACTTCTCAGTTGTATTATATTTTTAAAAATTTAAAATGAACTTGTATATGTGGAAGGATTGATGATCTGTACTGACTCCAGATGGTCATGTTCTCCTGATGACAGATGGAAGTCCAGGAGAGGCGGGGCCATCTACAGGAAAGCAGGAGAGAAATGATTGATATAAGAAGCCAGCACAATCCAGGAACTCTTTATACAAGCAGAATTTTTACTTTTCTGATTCTTCAGTAGTATTTTTTGAATTATGGAAGGAGATGAACTTTCCTATTATTTTAATATGGAACCAGCTGTATTGTTGTTTCTCTTTCCTTGCTGTGCTAGAAGAGTCTGGAGTTTAAGTTCTTCTTGTATTTGAGCAACAGTTAATGTTTTCAAATTCTTTTTGTTGATTAGACATTTGTGTCTGATGGATCACTAAGGTTTATTATAAAAAGGGTTGAAGTTCAAGGATTTTTCTTTTTTTTACATTAGTTGTAAAAAAGAGGACAAAATGCCTTGGCTAGAAGCCAGAACAAGAGAATTTGGAGCATCAACAAAATATGTTGAACATAAACAAGAGAGTAGGGTTTCACTCTAAGCAAGAAAGCAGTTCTCCCAGGATGATGAACTAGAAAAAGGGAGAGGAAAGTACTATGTGTATATGAACAGGAAGATGTAGGAAATAGGGAAGGGGGAGGTAGTCACAGTTAAGTGGATTGGATCTTAAGCAACTTTGCCAATGATATTTTTACCCCAAGTGTATGCCAGCAATACATGGTTCTACTACTAGTGACCTCATAGAAGCAGAGTCATCGCTGGAGAAAGCCATAGCTCTCATCCCGATGGGCATCTCCTGCCTCTGAGGCCTCAGTTAGCTGCACGTGCCTTCTGCATCTCCTGGGGATTTCACTCCATCAGTTAGCATCTTGTTTGCTGACTTCCCTAAAGAAGCGTTATATATTAATATTAGTCTGTTATAATGTTGCTATAAAGATACAGTGAAAAGAGGTTTAATTCACTGAAAGTTCTGCATGGCCGGGGGCTTTCAAAATGTACAATCATGGTGGAAAGCAAAGGAGAAGCAAGCTACCTCCTTCACAAAGCGGCAGGAGAGAGAGCAAGCAAGCAGGGGAAATGCCAGACACTTGTCAAACAACCAGATATTGTGAGAACTCCCTCACTATCACAAGAACAGCCTGGGAGAAACCATCCCCATGATTCAATCACCTCCCAACAGGTCCCTCTCTCCATATGTGGGGATTACAATTTGAGATGAGATTTGGGTGGGGACACAGAGCCAAACCATATCGTGATGCCTATCCATTTCTTTGAATTTTGTTTGGTTCCTGACTGACTTATTCTTACCTCACAATGCCCCAGGATATATGTGAGCCCCCCAAAAACGGTATTAAAGTCTGAGAGACTTAGTAGCGTGGCCTAACAAAGAATCCTTGGAGCTAACTGGACCCAAACTGATTTGATATCTTCCCAGCATCTCTTCATCTTTTACATGAGCTTGGACAATGGCTAATGGCTCCTTTTAGAGAATAATTTAAAAATGTGTCAATATAAGGGCCACCTAGAACATAAAGAAAGAATATAAAGGTCAAAGGTCTTGTTATATATCAACATGGTCTTTGAGAATTGCTTATACTCAATTTTGATGAGCCCAGCTCTTTATGGCTGCTGCTTCTGTGTTTTGGAAAAGTGCAAGCCTGGGCAACTCACTGATACTCTCAGCAGCATAGATCCAACTAAACTCCTAGTTTAGTCATGGTAGTACCCTGTGGTGGTACCATTACGGTGGTGCAGCCCTTGGTACTGTCCTGGTTTGGGTTTCTTGGACATTTGGAGAAATAAAACAGATGGGAGAATTATGATTTTGAACAAATAACTTACCATGTTGCAAATTTCTTTATCAATGAAAGTTCAGTAATTTTCTACATTGTTTAACTAAAAGTTGTGGGTTTTTAAATGTAGGTGTTTAAGCTAGCACTTGAGTGAATTTAAAAAAATGGACTAAATACTGTGGAGGGAGAAGTGCAAAAGGATCGGATAACACACTGTAGTGGAGCCTCCAGGGTGTCTGCCCAGCAACCTTCTGATCCATAGATGTGGGCCTGGGTAACCTGTGTCACCTCCTGGACTTCCTCCTTGCCAGAGTGGTGGTGGGGTTAGGGACTAAGAAACTACACATCATTCTCTGCATGTGGCCAAACTTACAACATGGGAGTAGTGAAACGTCTGTGAGAACTAGTGTATTCGTCCATTTTCATGCTGCTAATAAAGATACCCAAGATTGGCTAATTTATAAAGAAAAAGAGGTTTAATGGACTCACAGTTCCACATGGCTGGGGAGGCCTCACAATCATGGTGGAAGCCAAGGAGGAGCAAGTAATGTCTTACATGGATGGCAGCAGGCAAACAGAGCTTGCACAGAGAAACTCCCCCTTATAAAACCATCAGATCTTGTGAGATGTATTCACTATCACGAGAACATCATGGGAAACACCTGCCCCCATGATTCAATTATCTCCCATGAGGTCCCTTCCACAACACGTGGGAATTCAAGATGATATGTGAGTGGAGACACAGCCAAATCATATCAATCTCTCCCTTGCCCCTCCCAAATCTCATGTCCTTACATGTCAAAAACAATCATGCCTTCCCAACAGTCTCCCAAAGTCTTAACTCATTTCAGCACTAACTCTTTTAAATGTCTATGGTCCAAAGTCTCATCAGAGACAAAGCAAGTTCCTTCTGCCTATGAGCCTATAAAACCAAGAGCAAGTTAGCTACTTCCTAGATACAATGGAGTATTGTAGAGAATACTCTACAATATTCTTTGTAGAGAATACTCTACAATGGAGTATTGTAGAGAATTGGGTAAATATAGCAATTCCAAATAGGAGAAATTGGGCAAAATGAACGGGCTACATGCTCCATGCAAGTCCAAAATCCAGCAGGGCAGTTAAATCGTAAAGCTCCAAAATGATCTGCTTTGACTCCTTATCTCACATCCTGGTTATGCTGATGCAAGAAGTGGGTTCCCACAGTCTTGGGCAGCTCTGCCAGTGTGGCTGCTTTCATGGGCTGGCAATGGAGTGTCTGTGAGTTTTCCAGGTGCATGGTGCAAGCTGTCAGTAGATCTTCCATTCTGGGGTCTGGAGGATGGAGACCCTTTTCTCACAGCTCCACTAGACAGCACCCTAATGGGAACTCTGTGTGGGGGCTTCCACCCCACATTTGCCTTCCATACTACCCCAGCAGAGGTTCTCCATGAGGTCTGCCCCTGAAGCAAAGCTTGTTTCTAGATATCCAGGCATTTCCATACATTCTCAATTTTCACGATGGAGGTTCCCAAATCCCAGTTCTTGACTCTGTGCACTCACAGGCTCAACACCACATGAAAGCTGCCAAGGCTTGGGGCTTGCACCCTCTGAATCAAGAGCCTGAGCTCTACCTTGGCCCCTTCCAGTCATGGCTGGAGCGGCTGGGATACAGAGCACTAAGTCCTTAGACTGCACACAGCAGAGGGACACTGGGCCCAGCCAGTGAAACCATTTTTCCCTCCTAGGCCTCCAGGCCTGTGATGGGAAGGGCTACCTTGAAGACTTCTGACATGCACTAGAGACATTTTCCCCATTGTCTTGGTGATGATTCACATTCAGCTCCTCGTTACTTATGTAAACTTCTGCAGCCAGCTTAAATTTCTCCTCAGAATATGGGATTTTCTTTTCTATCACATTGTCAGGCTCCAAATTTCTGCACTTTTATACTCTGCTTTCTTTATAAAACTGAATGCCTTTAACAGCACCCAAGTCACCTCTTGAATGCTTTGCTGCTTAGAAATTTCTTCCACCAGATACCCTAAATCATCTCTCTCAAGTTCAAAGTTCCACAAATCTCTAGGGCAGGGGCAAATTGTTGCCAACCACTTTGCTAAAATATGACAAGAGTCACCTTTGTTCCAGTTCCCAAAAAGTTCCTCATCGCCATTTGAGACCACCTCAGCCTGGACTTTATTGTCCATATTGCTATCAGCATTTTGGGCAAAGCCATTCAACAAGTCTCTAGGGAGTTCCAAACTTTCCCACATTGATCTGGCTTCTTTTGAGCCCTCCAAACTGTTCCAACCTCTGCCTGTTACTCAGTTCCAAAGTTGTTTCCATGTTTTTACATATCTTTTCAGCAGTGCCCCACTCTATTGGTTCCAATTTACTATATTAGGCTGTATTCCTGCTGCTGATAAAGACATACCTGAGACTGGGAAGAAAAAGAGGTGACATGGTTTGGCTGTGTTCCCACCCAAATCTCATCTTGAATTCCCACATGGTATAGGAGGAACTCAGTAGGAGGTAATTGAATCAAGGGGGCAGGTGCTGTTCTTGTGATAGAGAATAAGTCTCATAATATCTGTGCTGTTCTTGTGATAGCAAATAGGTCTCATAATATCTGACGGTATTATAAGGAGGAATTTCCTGCACAAGCTCTCTCTTTTTGCCTACTGCCATCCACGTAAGAGTTGACTTGCTTCTCCTTGGCTTTCACCATGATTGTGAGGCCTTCCCAGGCATGTGGAACTGTCAGTCCCATTAAACTTCTTTTTTCTGTAAATTATCCAGTCTCAGGTATATGTCTTTTATCACCAGCATGGAAATAGACTAATACAAGAGGTTTAATAAATTCATAGTTCCACATGGTTGGGGAGGCCTCATAATCATAGTGGAAGGCAAAAGCTACTACTTACATGGCAGTGGCAAGACAGAATGAGAGCCAATAAGTCTCACAAGATCTACTGGAGAAGACCAGCTCTGCCCGATATGAGGGCTTTCCCTCTGCCTGGCACAGTGCTTGGCATAGAATAGGTCTTCAGTGAATATCTGTCAAATGGCTTGGATTCCTAAACAGATGGATAGGTGAGTGAACACCAACATGCAGAAAGTATCAGAGGAAAGGTATAGAGTCCTGCCCACATTCCAGTCCCTGATTCCAGTTGCTTCCCACCTTTCAGCTCCAGTGCCAATTTGAAGACTTACATATAACTCAGGCCATCCTAAGCTGGTTTCTGCAACTTGCAAATTATAGAGCAATCAATGATAATAATGGTCTCTAGTTTGGGGGAACTTGGAGTATACTTTTAGACAATTTGAAAAAAAATTATGTATTTGTATAACTGATTCCTTCTATTTACATATGTGTATATTTATACATGAATGTGTGTTTAGGTAAATGTATATATTTATATGGTATTATTTTGGGGTGTATACATATATATAAAAATGCATATATAAAAATGAATTGGGCAATTTAATCAATGTGCTGAGCTCCCTTTTAATCTCTAAAATGAAAGGTTTAGATTCAATGATCTAAAATTTTAAAAGTATATGCTTTCCAGGAATTATGTAATTGCTTTGTTAGAAAGTCATCAGAAGGTATACTGTTGCTAGAAAAGAATGCCCAAGGAAGGCACTTTGGGAATTCACTTACGTTCTATGTTTTGCCATTGCTGAAAATAGTTTGGCAGCTCCTTCAGGAAGTATATTCGGAGGTATTCACATATTCTCCATGGAGACAGACGTCCAGTCTAATGATTGTGATGACTGAGGGTGCCACCTGGTAATGACAGTTCAGGTAGAAAAGCAAAATTTAGTTATGAAACAGCAGTAAGAGTTTTCTCTACGAACTGGCCATGGAGGTAGACCCACAAGGGGTATCATGTCATTGTCACTGTGGATAGAATATTGGTGAGGATGACATACCAAACCTTTCTGAAGCATCGGAAAGGTAGACAACCTGCAGTTGCAGTCCCCAAACTTGGCTGCCCTCTTTTTGGCTGGGACCTCAGTACTCTTCTCACATCAAGCATGGGCATGTACCCAGGTGTTCAATCAGTACTGAGTGGTCAGTTAAGCAAAACTGATTATAACAGTCATCAGTGT